AGTAGCAAGGGGTGGCAACAAAAGAAACGGTAGGTTAGTAGCAAGGGGTGGCAACAAAAGAAAAGGTAGCTTAGTAGCAAGGGGTGGCAACAAAAGAAACGGTAGCTTAGTAGCAAGGGGTGGCTGGTTACGTCAAAGTCAACATATTGAACCAACTTTGGTCATGTATTGACACCAGTTTTGTTATAACTTGACGTATTCTAAATAGGCCTGTTATACCAATTGTAAATCAATGTTATGCGCAAGTTAGACGTGTTATTGATTTGTGAAAAAACAACTAGTTGGGGATGTTGTATTCTCAATTTTATAAACAAAAAATAATTTAAAATGTTTGTGCCCAACACGTGTTAAAGCTATATGAAAATTGACATCAAAATACAACAGTAGACTATGGTTTTGTATGTCTCTACAAAACAAGTCGTTTTCATGTCTTATAAGTAACGAAATCTGTTTTCTCACTATGAATAAGGTTATTTGCAACCCCCCCCCCCAAAAAAAAAAAAAATGTTACGAAATCTGAGTTTACACGTCAATATTCCTGAAGGTTGTTAGATTAGCTGTACAGTTCTCGCGTACGTGTAAATCCATCGAAACACTTCTGTGGTGATGCAATCAGAAACTTGTTTATTGGCTGCGGAGTGTTTGCTGCTCTTGCCCTGTACTACCCGTACATACAAGTGTAAGGGGACGTCATAATGTTTAAAACATCGTGGTCTCCCGTTTTTCAAATGTCGAGCATCATATGGTATGAAGATCTTTTCAATTCTGTAAGAGTGTTTCATAATTAAACACATTGTAATAATACACTAAAACAAAGATTAGTTCTCAAACTTGTTTTGATCCCGTGGGAAAAATCATGCAGCATATGAAATAACCAGTTTGTTAGTGTTAAGAAATACGTTTTATCGTGTTGAATTTAAAGTAATGGTTGTATAGCCGTAGAAAATGTTGTTCAATTAATCGTTATTAATATTAAGATGCTCCCCTGCATTTTTCATGCATTCCTTTGGGGTCATTGACCATCAGATACATAAGCGTTTGAGAATTAAAGGGGGCATATAAAAAGTGCACACTCCGTACATTAATTTCGTGACTGAGTAGCCTATAAAGTTATTTCATTAAAAAAAGTTATTATGTTAACGGCCCCTAGAAATATTTTATACTAACAGTATTCTCACTCCAGAACCTTTCAGCTGGTTTGTTGTGTCACGTTGCGTTTCACGTATCATCTTAAAGACAGGATGTACGTCGTACAAATTAAACTTTACAATATCACAAACATCGAAGGCTTAGATAATATAGGTGTACATATATGATGATCCTGTAATTACTATTGTATAATCACATTAAATATAACACCGACTAAGGTATGATATTCATTAACACCTATAGCGTCACCTTACTTGCAATCTGTTTTCTGTGTAATAGTGTTTTTTAATTTGATATAAAATATAACGGAGCGGCGCTGTAACATCTTTAATAGCGGTGACGCAAAAAGCAATTTAATAAACTAAACCTTGTATATAATGTAAGCTATTTATTTGTTTGTTATTATTGCGCAAGACACATTAATAAGGCCAGCAGGTGCGCAGCTCCCTTGTACTTCAAGCCAGGGAATATTACAGCACCCCTTATTAAAATATATTTGTAATGTTGCCATCCTCCATCCCCCGTTATTAATATAATTTACTTTGGAAACAATACATATATATAAAACGTGTAGTTTACATTCCCTGAATTATTATTAAATAATACAGGAAATAATGGAAGCAAATGCCAAAATGGCGCCCGTGAACTCTATAAGGCTTACGTTACCGTGTATGTCACGAAAACGCCGCATCGTCGATAACACTTGCAGACTAAACTTTTATCACATAACTACCAATAGTAATAAATATTTGTATCTCAAAATTTCATGAAATTATTAAAACTCGACAAAAACAGGTACAAGGTACCTGACATTCATTCTAATGTAAAACAATAACTTCTTCACAAGAAATTATGAAAAACACGCAATATTAATTATAACGTGTGACCAAAACACCAAATGTGTGAGCTGTTCCATTTTTAATGGTGTTATGAAATATTGTTAAGTTCGACCTTTTTGCACGTTAATGCAATTTCTAAATTTCGATATTTAGTAAACATTCACAAAATAAAGTTAATAAATATATATATAATCATTAATATTTTTAACGATTCGTTTATAATAATTGCCAAGCATGAATTTGAGTAACAAAAGAATGTAACCAACAGTGTTTCTTTACTCTGCTATTGTAGAACTCAACTTAAGTTGGAGACACTAGATGATGCCGTGGTGTTGGATGATGAGTCCAGTGATCAGCTCAGTGATAGGCACGGTTGTCCAGCCTACGTCAGTCCAGAGATTCTTACACCGACAGAAACCTACTCTGGTAAAGCTGCAGACTGCTGGAGCTTAGGTGTAATACTGTACACCCTTCTGGTTGGACGGTATCCCTTCAATGACAGTAACCATACATATCTCATTGGGAAGATTCGTAGAGGGAAATTTACAATTCCAGACTTTATTTCCTTGCAAGGAAAATGTCTCATTCGCAACTTGCTAAGAAAAGATCCTAAAGAAAGATTTACAGTTGAAGAAGTTCTGAGTCACCCCTGGCTTCAGTTATCGTTTCATGAAGGAAGAGTTTCTTCTGATAACCATAAGGATGAAGCAAAGGTTCCTGAATTTGTGATGGATGCAACCAAGCCAGCAGAAAATCCTTTCTTGTTTCTACCACTGTAAATAACTAGCTAATTTTAAGATAGAACCAGTCTTTCTTATTTGAGAGTGTGACATATTGTACATCAGTTCTTGTCCAGCTTAAAAACGTGAATGTGCAAAACCATAAAATATTTGGGAATCTTCCTGTACTTGTATGAATTCACAAGGACTTTTATGATGCCACCAAACTAATGTGGACCACACTGGTTTTGACTTAGCTCAAAGCTACACAAATGATAATTGTTCCCATTAATAATAATTAAGACTACAGTTTTGTCTGATTTTTTTTTTTTCCCATCGAGCATTCCCTGTTATTTAAAAATATCTCAACAATGTGAAGGGAATCCGTAGTGGATCCCATATATATGCTTTTTTCAGTTACAACAGTAATTACCAAAACTTCTTGGGATAGAGAGCTGAATTCTTCTTAAGTCATGTTACAGTACTTTCAAAAATCAATAATGGACACAAGCAGTGTGAAGTTAAAAATATTAATTAATTAATTACTTTGATTTTTATATGGATAAAAAAAATAAATTACTATTATTTTTGTTTAATTTCCGAAATCATCATGATGTCTTGTTTAATTTTTTACTGTTAACCTGAAATTTCAAAAAGACAAGTTAAGCAAGGGGACCTTGGTGACATTTTTGATAGTTCTTTGGTTTTGGGGGCTTTATGCTTATGTCTCACTAACTCATTTATTGAATTTTTTTTATTCCTGTGTAAATCAAACTTAATTTCCAGTTTTTGTTTAGTCTGCCACATAATTAGACAATATAACAAGTTTTAATGGGTATGCTGCCAGTTATATTAATGTTACAAATGAAAGTAACATAAGGAATAACAATAAATCATTATGTAGACCTGTAAGTAATTAATGGTTATAACTGTATTCTGCTTACAAGTCTGAGAAAAACATACGTTAATTTACTTTTGACTGAATATAATGGATGTATGTATTGCCTATTTAATTTGGCAATGGGAAGAATATGTCATTTCATGTTATAAAGTTATCTTTGTGTATTGATTTAAACTGGGGTTAATCTCCCATTTGTAAAACGATAATAAGAGATGTGGTATTGAATTATTCCATTATGGAAAAGAATTTTTATGCAAAACATTTATCAACTACCTCTTTCAGTTGCTAAATATCTCAGGTGAGAACTCTTCTCTATGACTTGTTGTTTCTCATTTGCTATAGCACATTTATTGTGGTGCTCCATACGATCTATGTGTGGCTAAGTAATCAGAAATGTTATTCAATTGGTGGTTCTGTCACAGAAGTAGCCTAGATTTGACATGGATGGCTGTTCTTAAGATACAAACTATAAACATTTGAAACTGTTTCAAATGGAAATAACCACCTTAGACATAACGTTAATGAGAGAATACACAAATGTACATCCTATAAGTAGGAAATAACCACCTTAGGCTTAATGTTAATGAGAGAATACACAAATGTACATACTATAACTAGGAAATAACCACCTTAGGCTTAATGTTAATAAGAGAATACACAAATGTACATGCTATAATATAAGTAGGAAATAACCACCTTAGG